TGAGAGGGGTTCAGGGTGGGGGTGACATCACACAGAAGCCACGTGGTTTACGGGAGGCTTAAGCTAATTTAGAGCGCTAACGATAGTGACGTCAGCCGATGCCACGTGACATCATTTTTTGTGTAAGCACAACAACAACAACCAACCAGTGACGCAGTACGTGACGTCAAATTATCGGAAGAATCCGAATTTTGTTTTACTCCCCCCCCCCCCCCCCACCTCGCTGGGATGGTTACGAAACATTATTCACTAGACCACCCGAGATCATGAAATTTCTTAGATTTTAGATCTTAAAAAAAAAATTACATCGGAAAATCGGGAAGGATGTTTGTCCACACAAAGTATCTTCCCAAACATAAACCTAGGTCCTGTATCTCCCTCTCTCGCCGCTCTCTCTCACCTCGTATTGTGTTGCATATATTATCTCAATAAATTATAAATAATAATAGTCTAAACGATATTGTTGAATAACACTGTCGGTTGATAAACAAGGAAAACTTTCCGATTGCAAACCAACACCTGTGCACTTTGATTTCATAAAGAATATTATATCTATATACCCTGTATATTTACGTTTATGTACATATATGTATACATATAAATATTGGGGAGGGCGGGGGTTAGGTGAAGGGAGGGAGAGGGCAGAGGGCATTGGGCGAGCGGTGGTGGAGTGGTTAGCGCACCGCGCTAGAGACTTTGCGACCTGAGTTTGACTCCCGACCGCGGCTACAACAGCGACTAAGCGAGTGGTAATATCCAAACGAGTCCTAGCAATTTAAACATTTTACGGCTTGCTTCCATTTTACGCCGTTGTATTTATTTGCTTATTCGAGAAAATTATTTGTTTAAGCTGCTTCTCACCCAGGTCGAGTTCCTACAAAGCGACTTCGTGTTGAAATCGCGCACGCTTTAAACAATCTGCACGTCTACTTAGAGTGTCACGGGATACATTTTTTGCCGGTATCAATAAATGGATATATATTTTTTTTGCAAGGAATCAAGTACTGAACTAACCACACACATATTCTTGGTTCTTTCGGTAAAGAGAAACAATAAAATAATACAATTATAAAACAATACAATTCTCACGACGTTCCGACTGCAACACAAGCAATCACCTGATGATTGCTTGTGTTGCAGTTGAAACGTCGTGAGAATTGTATTGTCAGGTGATGATTGCTTGTAAAGAATTAAAGCTTTCGTGACTGCATAAATTACTCATTGTTTTTTTCGGTAAAGTCACGTATGTAGAAATACCATAAAATTATATTAGCACTCTTCTGAAATTCGTGGTCCGCCAGGCAAGTGTCTAACTGTGTTGTTGGCCTGACTGGTTTTGCATAACATAATTTTTTCTTAGGTTTGTTGAATTCTCGTCTCTCATCTTCTTGTAGGATTTACCTCCGTGCAGTTGAACGCTCTCTATGTGTTGCGTTGGTGTCGCCCTGTATGCTCCCTCGCTATTTGTTTTTTTACACCTGATGAAGATCGCTTGTGTCGCGGTCGAAACGTCGTGATTGATTTATTTCAATATAATTTTATGGTATTTCTACATACGTGACTTTACCGGTTAAAACCAATGAGTATGATTGCTTGCGTTGCAGTCGAAACGTCGTGAGAATTTTATTGTTTAATATTTTTATTATTTTATTGTTTCCCTTCTACGTGACTTTACCGAAAGAACCAAGAATATGAATCCCTGCAGTCACGAAAGCTTTAAATCAAAATTTAACCACACACAGTTCTTTGCGGTGAACATGTCAACAAACACGACTCTATGCTCTTCGGTACTTTCGGTAAATTTACGTAGTTATAACATAAAATAATTTTCTACCTACTACCTGTGATCACTTTACCAAAATAACCAAAGAGTATGGATTTCTGCAGTCACGAAAGCTTCAAATCAAGATTAAACATTCCGTGACTGCAGGGATTCAGATTCTTAAACATAGCTCTGATAATATAGAAGGCTGTGTCTCAAGTGTGGCAAATCATTTTCAAAGACAATGCAAATATTATTATAGTTGCACGTTCACCACTAGTCGTGTGTGTGTGTGGTTAGCGCAGACGATGCCTTGCAAAGAAGTATTTATTGTTTAAACATCTTAACCACCTCCTGTTTAATTGCCAGAAAGGGTAACACCCATTCTTATTTGTCAACTATTTAGATTATTTAGAAAATCTGGCTGCTATAAAATTCCACACAATGGGCAACTTTGTTGAGCTATCAATTGTGGCCAGGTCGCTTCTGATAAAATAAGTTAATAGCTCAGTGGGCTGGAAAGATACAAATAGTTAAGCTTATTTGTATATATTTTTTTTAAGTGATTTGCTTACCTTTCCTATACTTTACAATCCTGTCGTGTTCTTTTTGTTGCATCGTTTGTTGTTGTAACGTTCTGACCACGTGCCCCTACTGGACATCTGTGAACACGAGCTTCAGAGCTAAATGGAGTCCTCTTCCAGTATAAATATTCCGATTCCGACTCGTCACCTCTTCAACCTTAGTTGGAGAGCGTTGCCCGAACGTCTGACACGGGCGCGAAATCCGCCCGCAAAACGACCGCTCCACTCAGTAATTACCGACCAAAACCAATGCGTCCATAGGAACGTGGAATTTCCACCACTGGCTCCGGCCTCTCTATGCCGACGACCTTCTGAACCGAGTGGCATCGTCACGGTGGTCTCCAACTATATGGATGGCGTGGGCACCACGAATCGCCGTCATCAGCCGCGGTCGATCCACTGCTGGACGAAGACCTCCCCCCAAGTGGCCCACGCACCACGAGCTGCTACTGCTGCCGCCTGCACAGCGCTGGGTCAAAAGGCAGCCACGTGCAGCAGCGTAGCCACCTAGCACCGCTACCACCTCCGCTGTTACCACCGCCACCACCACCACCACCACTGCCACCACCACCGCTAACACCACCGCCGTTACCACCGCCACCGGTACCACCACAACCGCCACTGGCACCACCACCGCTACAACCACTACCACCACCATCACCACCACCGCACACCACCGCCCTCCCGGCTAAATGCACGACCCTCAAACCCTGTAAGTGTACGCGTGAATCAAATAAATAAATAAATACATAAACAACTAATTGATACGTCCACTTGAAAACAAAAACAAGTCGCTCACTGCGGAGCCTCTTCACGAGCGGGAGCCCAAAGAGGAGTCGCCGTGGTCGTGGGAGGCCTCCGCACTTGACCCCACCACTCCCCACGCGCGACCAGTGCTCACTCGGTGCGGTGCTCACCGCGTGCATCCACCGCCTCGTGGTGCTTGAGCAACCACCACCACCACCACCACCACCCCTTACCCATTGATTTAAGCTGCCGCGCCGGGAGATAAGATTCGAAACCACCAACGCGGACAGCTGCCCGCACGACGTAGACCTCGACAATTAGCTACGAAGAGAACCAACCCCATTGCTACCCTGCGTGTCGACCGCATTGATTGTAACGATCATGATGGCCGCGCCTACTTTTGCATAGCCCCGCCCACTCGGCTCGCTAGCACCGCCCGCTTTTTACACAACCACGCCCACTAGCCCCGCCCACGCAGACACCGCCCCCCCCCCCCCCGCCTCCTTTCACATAACCACGCCCGCCCGGTCACTAGCACCGCCCCTTTCACATAGCCCCACCCACACTCGGCAACTAGCCCCGCCCACTCAGCCACTAGCACCGCCCCCTTTCACATAGCCACGCCTACTTAGCCACTGGTCCCGCCTATTCCACTGCACAGACGAATAATCGGCCTACTTGCCGTACTATTTTCGACAGCTCCTCCTCCTGTTCCTCCTTCCCCTCCTCCAAATCGTCCTATCATCACCCTCACCCCCCTTCACACTCTGCAACTCACCACGCCCCCTCGATCGATTTCAAGCGCAATTATAACAACAACAACAACAACTGCTCGGCTTTGAAACGAATCGAACCCGAATCTGTCAGCAACCTCTCAAACAAACGCGGGACGCAAGCACGCGCGCCCAACAACAACAACAACAACAAAGAGACAAAGATCCCCGGCATAGCCTTCAAGAGGCCGTTGGGGCAAGTGCTGCCAGCGTGCGGAGGCGGGCGGGTGGCCAGCAACCACGCCCGGCCGCCTTTGTCTCCCTAGTGGCGGTTTGTACACACCGCGCCACGCGCTGTACTCATTTGAGGCTGAGCCGACCTAGGGGGGAGGAACCCAGTTCATAGAGTCGTCACCGGTGGTGGTGGTGGCGGCGGTGGTGGCCGTGAGCCGGGGGGTGTCTGTGGTGTCCGTGGCAGCGGTGACGCTAACCGCTGCGCCACCGCTCCTCCGCAACCACAAACTCAAGGCGTCAGACACAACAACAACAACAACAACAAGACTCGACACAACTCCCCCACCCCCCCACCCCCCCCCCCCCCGGTGTCCAGCATCGCTCAGGGCCCCCCAACAAAGCAAACCACAGAGCCCCCTACGCCCCCTCCCCCCCCCCCCGACTCTACATCTCTCCCCCATCACCTCTCACTGTGCCCACCACCACCACCACCAAAGACAAAGTCCCTCACCCACCCCCCCTCCCGTGTAGCCTTCACAGACTGTAGGGGCAAGTGCTGTTAGCGAGTAGCAGCACCTATGAAGGCCGGCACGGCACACGAGGGGGTGGGTGGCCAGCGCCACGCCCGGCCGCCTTTGTCTCCCCCAGTGACGATGTTTACTACACACCGCATCAAAATACTAATTTGAGGCTGAGTCGACCTCGGGGAGAGGCCCAGAACCGGTTCAGAGAATCGTCACCAGTGTTGGTGGCCGGGCTCGTAGCCGTTGCACTGTTGCTGCCAAATCGGCACCACCACCATCAGCAGCATCATCAGCAGCAGCAACAACATCATCATCAGCAGCATCATCATCAGCATCATCATCATCAGCAGCAGCAGCAGCATCATCATCATCAGCAGCATCATCATCAGCAGCAGCATCATCATCATCATCAGCAGCAGCAGCATCATCTGCAGCATCATCATCTGCAGCAGCAACATCATCAGCAGCAACATCATCAGCAGAACATCATCAGCAGCAGCAGCATTATCATCATCAGCAGCAACATCATCATCAGCGGCGGCTACAAATGGGTCAGTCGCGGAACGTCTGGAAGGACCCCGTGGCCCCCTCGCATCCCCTGCGCCAAGACCCCGAGGTCGGGGTAGATCCCCTCGCAAGGGGCCTCCTCATCCCCTTGCTCGTATCCGAAGGGGATCGCGGCACCCTGGGAACTGAAGTCCATCCCGCAGACCAACAATCTGCTGGCGCTCGCAACTTCCAGCTGCTGCTGCTGCTGCTGTTGTTGGTGGTGGTGGTGCTGTTGTTGGTGCTGCTGCTGCTGCTGCTGTTGGTGGTGGTGGTGACCGCCGTACTGATCGATGGCCGCGTACACCGCGGCTCCGTGCGCAACCACGGGCAGCTGGCGGTGGTAGCGGCCACCGAGGCACCCGTCGGACCCTCCGGCAGTGTGCGGCGTGAAATCGTGGCCCTTGACGAGACTTTTGGGGGCATCGCCGCCACCGCCACCACCGCCGCCGCCGCCGCCGCCGCCCGAGTAGCCTCGTCTGAGCATCAGCGACGACGACGAAGACGACGATGGCGATGATGGAGATCCGCCGCCGCCGCCGCCGCCGTCTCCCGCGTGAGCCACGAAACCCGGAGACGTCGCGAAGGCCGCGGCCTCGTGGCACTTGCCGAAGAAGTGCGGCGACGAGCGGTGGTCGTAGGCGTGCAGCGGGTGACCCCCCAGGGCGAAGTGACACGAAGGGGGGAGCCCCGGCGGTGACGCGCGAGGGGGTGACAGCCTCGACCCCAAACCCACGCCACCCGCAGCGACGCACGGCGGCGACAGTGGGCCAACGCCCACACCAACACCGCAGCCACCGAAACCTTTAATCTTCTGGTCCTTCTTGTACTTCATGCGGCGGTTCTGGAACCAGATCTTGATCTGGCGCTCGGTGAGGCTCAGCAGGTTCGCCATCTCGATGCGGCGCGGACGGCAGAGGTAGCGGTTGAAGTGGAACTCCTTCTCGAGCTCCACCAGCTGGGCACTGGTGTAGGCGGTGCGCGCCCGCTTGGATGCAGCCGCTGCGGCGGTAGCGGTGGACGACGAAGTGGTAGAGGAGGAGGAGGAGGAGGAGGTGGTGGAGGAAGAGGAGGAGGAGGAGGTTTTGTCACTGGCGCCCGTGGCGTCGGAGCCTATGGGGAAGATGATTTCATCGTTGTGGTGGTGTTGGTCGCGGTGGAATCGTATTCTTACCAAAATAAAAAAAAACATGAATAATTTTGATACCGGCGCAAATAAAGACGAGAATGAAGTTTCCACGCTAAACCGGTTTTGGGAATCGGGGTTACCGGTCTTTGAGAGTCAGGAAAACAACTCGGGGCGTACCCACACTCTACCCTACCAAGTGCAGTGACCAGCTGGCGGGCCCAACGTGGCGAACCCCTTCATAGCGCTGGGAAGACAAAAGCGGCGGGGAAGGGGTGGAGGTTGTGGGGGAGCAAGGGGAGGGGGAGTCATGTAGCCCGTGTACCCAGCCACCGCATGCCCAAGCAGCTTCTGTTTAGAGGAGGGGGGGGGCTAAACGGGCACGACACGGGCTAGAGAAGAGATGGAGTGATGTGGGTGGCCAGCACCACGCCCGACCGCCTTTGTCTCCCTAGTGGCAATGTTTACACACCGCACCAGGTACTCATTTGAGGCTGAGCCGACCTAGGGGAGGCCCGAGACCGGTTCAGATAATCGTCACTGGTGTTGGCCGTGAGCGGGAATCGAACCCGGGTCGTCAGGTTCACTACACTATCGCAAAGACAACAACAACAACCGCCATTCGCCACTAAGTGGCGGTGACGTCACCACGATGCTTGTGCCAGGCCATGTGCACCTTGAGGCCACGTGAAGTGTCGAACGCCCACGGGCAGGAGGTCACGGGGGAGACCCAGGTGCCACGGGTCGACTGACTGAGATGACTGGCTGGTGCACCACCTGTGCCCCCTACTGTGCCAACTTGCTGTGCTTTAGCCACTCGACGCTCCGCTCATTGTTGTGAGCGTCGCTCCTCCGCCCTCCTTTGTTGTTGGAGGGCGACTGCCTCCAACTGTTCAATAGCGTCTTTCACGAGCCTCCTCCACAGAGGCCGATCTTGACACCGCTGGTACCAGTCATGGGCAACTCCACTCAGCTCCACATTCTCCTGTACCACATCACTCCATCTCTTCTCTAGCCCGTGCCGCGCCCGTTTAGCCCCCTCAATCCTGCTGAACAAAAGCTGTTTCGGTATGCGGTGGCTGGGCATGCGGGCTACATGACCAAGCCAACGCAGCCTTGCCTGCCGGAGGAGCTCACCGATGGGACCTTGCCCAGATCTTTCAAGGAATTGTGAGCTGCTCACACAATCCAGCCTGGTTAAACCCAGGATAGATCGTAGGCAGGCCAGCCTAAATGTTTCCAACTGGCGAAGATGCTTCATTAAGGGGGTCCACGTTTCGCAAGCGTAGAGAAGGGAGGGAATGACCGTGGCCGAGAAGACCTGAAGCTTAGTGCGGAGCAACAGACCAGGTAGCTTCCACACAGCGTTACGCAACCGATGAAAAAATATTGCCGCTCGGATGATTCGGAGTGAGACCTCTGCTGTTAAACTGGAGCCGGTCATAAGCACACTGCCCAGGTATGGGAAACTCTCCACTCTCTGCACAACTGCCCAAATCACCGATTGGGAGTTGTGGGGGTGGAGTGTCTGATGGTTCAAAATACCCAGGCAGGTGCTTAGTTTTGGTGGGGCTGATGGTAAGGTCCCATCTCTTAGTGGCATGCTCCAGTCTCAGCAGCGTCTCCAACTCCTCCTCTGAATGAGCAGCTATTACCAAATCATCGGCATACATAACGTGGTTGAGCAATAGAGAGCCATCCCTTGACCGCTCCCAGGCATCGATCAGCCTCCCATTATATCTGTACCAAATGGAGATTCCCCCGGTACAGCTATTGAAGGCTTCACGAACTACGTGGTCAAAATAGATGTTAAATAATGTGGGAGCCAGAGGAAATCCCTGTCGCACCCCAAGGTGTACATGGAATGGCTCTGACTCCCGGCCACCTAGTTTTACCTGGACCCACTCACCATCATGAAGGTCCTTAATGATCCTGAGCAGAGGGTCAGGGACTCCAAAAGCACAAAGAACAACCCAGAGCCCAGGCCTACTGATGGTATCATAGGCCTTGACCAGGTCAATAAAGCAGAGATGTAGGTCTTGTTGGAATTGCCTACACCTCTGCTGTAGCAGACGGACAGAAAATATGGCATCTGTGCAGGACAGCCCTTTCCTGAAACCGCATTGGGGCTCCGCAAGCCTCTCCTCAGCGTGCCTGGCAAGGCGATGTTGAATAATCCTTGCCAGGACCTTTCCCGGCACACTGAGGAGTGAGATGCCTCTGTAGTTGTTACAGTCTGTGCGGTCCCCCTTCTTAAAGAGGGGGACCACCAGGGCATCCTTCCAATCCTGCGGAACCCGTCCAGTGGTCCAGAGGGCAGATCAGCTCCACGGTAGGTCCTGGTGTCAAGGACATGGGCTCGCATCCGCTGATCCGTCGCTATGTAGTCCAGCAGATGTTCTTGCTTGGACCCGGCATGCATCCATGATGTTGTGTGGATGCGCCGATGCCGGAACAGCGTGTTGATAATTACAAGCCCATGGGCTGCACAAAAATCTAGCAGCCTCCTACCGTTGTTATTGAGCTGATCTGGCCCATGCCCTCCAATCACTCCAGACCAGGTGCCAGCATCATGACCAACTCGGGCATTGAAGTCACCCAACAAGATGACTCTATCCCGAGGGGCCACTTTAGCCAGCATCTGTGACAGAAGGTCATAGAAGGCATCTGACTCATTGGCTTTGCCTGCATCCCTCCACGGATGTTCGTCTTCGGTGGGGGTATAAGTAACCACGACCACCACTCCTCGCTTCGGTTGATGGGAAGGCGAGCCCAAGGTAGTCTGGGGCTTACAGCTTCCCACACCTCACCGCCACGCTCCCACACACCCTTCATTCATTTGTTCAAAAGAAGAGCCACCCCCTGTTGTTTGGCATTCTGCTGCCCCGAGTAGAGGACTGTCCACCCCTCATGGTGGCAGGAGCCTGAACTGGTACACCGGACCTCCTGAATGCCACAGAGATCCAGGCAGTACCGGTCCAGCTCCCGACAGAGGAGTGGCAGCCTCTCCTCCGCAGTGAGCGTTCGAACATTCCACGTGGCCACACGAAGTGGCTTTTCGTTGTTTCCAGAGTAGCCCCGAGGATAGAGATTCAATCTCCTGGCTCCGCCAATTGAGGTTTGGCCAGGAGACGTCATAAACGCCTGTCCCCCCGGGGCCTCCGGCACAAGCTTATTAGTTATATATTTCAGTCGTGGTTTAGTGGTAAATTTTTGAAGGTGGAGGGGTTACCAGCTCCTCGCACCCGTCCAGAGCCCCCGTTTCGCCACTGTGGTGGTCACAGACGTCATGAGGAGAGGGGCCAATCGGAATTGGCCCTCCCCCCACAGCACTGTCCACGACAGAGTTGCCCGTCCGACACACACACACACACACAGACACACACACACACAGACACACACACAGACACACACAGACACACACACACACCGTCGTCCCGTACCTGCAACGGGAGGCGAACCCTTGCCCTTGAGCTTGCAGCTCTGCCTCGACTCCTTCATCCAGGGGAAGATCTGCTGCGTGAAATCCGCAGTAGCCGTCGTGCAGGGCGCACAGGGGCCGCGGGAGGCAGCGGTCCCGACTGGCGGCTTACGCGGATTTCCATCGCCGTCGGAACTCGACGACGGGGACCTGGGCTCCTGTAGCCGCTGCATCTGCAGCTGCGCCTGCAGCTGCTGCTGCAGGTGATGCTGCAGGCCGCACGCCCTCATCCCCCGTTGCAGTTTGGCTACGCACCCGCGCGGGAGGTCGAACTCATCCGACTGCACCTCCGCGGCGTGTTCGTCCTCTTGCAGGGAGCACGCGGACACGCAGTAGGGGCTGTCGGGATCCATCAGGGGCAGCTGACGGTGCTGCTGCTGTTGCTGCTCTTCTTCCTGGGCGGTGGCGGAGTTCGCGGCCGTGGTTGCGGTGGTGGTGGCGTTGGTGGTGGCGTTGGTGGTGGCGTTGTGACCCCGCGGTTCGGACAGGGATGCGAAGCCGAACCCAGCGGCGGCGGTGGCGGTCACTCCGAGGTAGGCGTAGGCACCACCCATTGGTGAAGCCACGTCGTAGAAGCCAACCTTCTGCATGGTCTTACAACAAGAGCCACCACCACCTAGCAACCACCACCACCACCACTTACAACAACAGCTACCACCACCACCTAACAACCACCACTACCTACAACAACAGCTACCACCACCACCTAACAACCACCACCACCTACAACAACAGCTACCACCACCTACAATCACCGCCACCTACAACCACCACCTACAACAACAGCTACCACCACCAATTACAACCACCACCACAATCTACAACCACCACCTACAACCACCTTCAACAACAGCCACTACCACCTACAACCACCACCACCTACAACCACCACCACCACCTACAACCACCACTACCTACAACAAGAGCCACCACCACCTTCAATCACCACCTACAACCACCAAATATACAGATAACCACCACCACCTACAACCACCCCAAACACCACCTACAACCACCACCACCTACAAATACCACCACCACCTACAACCACCAAATATACAGATAACCACCACCACCTAGAACCACCCCAAACACCACCTACAACCACCAACACCTACAACAACAGCTACCACCACCTACAACCACCACCGCAACCACCAGCACCCCCTCCTCCCCTCTTCGCCCTCGTGTTAAGCTGGAGGCCGCCTGGATCACGGAAGACGTCTCATTAGACCTGGCGGAGGAGAGACACACAACGATATTCATGGAATATTAAAACACGAGCCAGCGATAGTCAACAGATTTCGCACGCAATTTGGATCGAAGGCGTGCAATGTGGTTGCAACCAAAGTGTTTGGAACCATCTAGGAAGTGTCATCTTCTTGGTAGCTCCATACTGGGTCTATGTGGATCTATGCAGCTGTGTGTGAGTCTATGAATCTATGTGTGGGTCTGTGAGTACATCTATGAGTCTATGAGTCTCTCTGAGTCTATCAGTCTCTCTGTGTGAGTATATGCGTCTCGATGTGAGTCTACGAGTATCTATGTGAATATATGGGTCTCTGTGTGAGTCTATGAGTACACCTGTGAGTCTATGAGTCTGTGTGTGAGTCTATGAGTCTTTGTGTGAGTCTATTGACTATCTCTGTGAGTCTATGAATCTCTGTGTGCGTCTGAGTCTTTGCGTGATTCTACGAGTCTCTGTGTGAGGCTATCATTCGTGGGTCTATGTGTGATTCTATGACTCTCTGTGTGGGTATATGTGGCAAGTTGGCACAGTAGGGGGCACAGGTGGTGCATCAGCCAGTCACCTCAGTCAGTCGACCCGTGACACCTGGGTCTACCCCGTGACCTCCTGCCAGCGGGCCTTCGACACTTCACGTGGCCTCAACGTGCACATGGCCTGGCACAAGCGTCGTGGTGACGTCCCCGCCACTTAGTGGCGAATGGCGGTTGTTGTTGATGTGTCTCTCTGTGAGTCTATTAGTCTCTGCGTGAATCTATGAGTCTCTGTGTGAGTCTATGAGTCTCTCTATGAGTATATTAATCGCTATGTGAGTCTACGAGTCTCTCCGTGATTCTGAGAGCCTCTGTGTGGGTCTATGACTCTCTGTGTGAGGCTATGAGTCTTTGTGGGTCTCCGTGTCTCTCTCTGAATCTATGAGTCTCTGTGTGTCTATAAGTCTCTGTGTAAGTCTATGTGGGTCTATGTGTCTCTCTGTAAATCTATGAGTCTCAGTGTGAGTTTATGGGTCTCTGTGTGTGTCTATGTGTCTCTGTGTGAGTCTCTGTGTCTCTGTGTGAGTCTATGTGTCTCTGTGTGAGTCTATGTGTCTCTGTGTGAGTCTATGACTTTCTGCGTGGGTCTATGCGTCTCTGTGTGGGTCTATGAGTCTATGTTTGGGTCTATGGGTCTCTGTGTGAGTCTATGAGTCTCTGTGTGAGTCTATGTGTCTCTGTATGAGTCTATGTGTCTCTGTGTGTGTGTCTATGTGTCTCTGTGTGAGTCTATGTGTCTCTCTGTGTGAGTCTATGTGTCTCTGTGTGAGTCTATGACTTTCTGTGCGGGTCTATGCGTCTCTGTGTGGGTTTATGAGTCTATATTTGGGTCTATGGGTCTTTCTGTGAGTATATGAGTCTCTGTGTGAGTCTTAGTCTTTTTGAGTCTATGAGTCATTGTGTGAGTCTATGTGTCTCTGTGTGAGTCTATGTGTCTCTGTGTGAGTCTACGAGTCTCTGTGTGAGTCTACGTGTCTCTGTGTGAGTCTATGTGTCTCTGTGTGAGTCTATGTGTCTCTGTGTGAGTCTATGGGTCTCTGTGTGAGTCTACGAGTCTCTGCGTGAGTCTACGAATCTCTCTGCGAGTCTGATTGTCTATTAAGAGTTCCCAGATTTCGCACACAATTTGGAAGCAACTGCATTGGACGTAGCTGCACCACGATTAAAATCGCTCAAATTTAAGTATGAATGTAATTTTACAAAATAGTTGCTATTACGTACTTAGAAAATTAATAGACCACGAGGTTTCGATCGCAACACAGCAGCAGAACTGCAGTTCTCCTGCTGTGTTTGTCTCTCACCTGATGACGGTTGCTTGTGTTGCGATCGAAACGTCGTGATCTATTAATTTTTTACCCACGTGACGACTTCACCGAAATAACCAACGAGCATGGATTCCTGCAGTCACGAAAGCTTCACATTAAGGTCGCTATCATGATTAAGTGTTTGTGAACAACGAGTCGTGTTTGTTACACGAGTGTAGGAAAAACGACACACCCGGAGACAACCCGCTTGCTGTACTGCCTTCTACTGGAGAACCAGGGGTTTACGGTGACACCCCATCTCTGTGTGATTCACCAATCCTCGCTGCTACCGCTGCTGCTGCTGCTTTCAGAGTGCTGGGTTACAGGCAGCCACGCGCTGTCTCGCCACCAGCGCTCCCATCATCATCAGGAGCGACCGTGGTCAATCCACTGCTGGATGAAGACCTCCCCCAAGCCTCTACCGCCATCATCAGGCATGTCGCTTGATGAAGCCGGTTGTTGTTGTAGTCACCAGCGAAACGTCGTGAACTCAAATTGTAAACGTTGTGGGTTTGACTCTCCAGCACAGCGGTGGTGCTGAAGTAGTGCAGCACAGCTAAGTTCCACGTTCTGTCCACGTGACACACCGTGCTAATTGGCTGTGTCGGCTGGTGGTGGGTGTACTTTTTTTAACGCGATCTCTAACCCAAAAACCATCACGATGATTAATATTGGTCGCCAAAGCAGACGTCTTACATTGACGATAATACTCATGATGATGCTGAAGATTCAAATTATGGTAATTATGACGCTGCTGATCCTAATGATGATAATACTGATGGTATTGATGATGATGATGATGATACTGATGATGATTATACTGATGGTAATGCTACAGATGATAATGATACTGATGATGCTGATGCTAATAATGATGATGATAACACTGAGTATGATAGTGATGATAATGATACTGATAAAAATGATGAAACTTATGATGATAATGATGATGATACTGATGATGATGATGATGATGACCCAGCCACCCCATCCCTCCTCACTCCACGTGTGTCACCCCCTGTGGAGACAATGCCGTTACTGACGAGCGGCTAATGAGGAGGTGGTGGTTGGCGGGGCTCTGGGGCATTGGTCAATGATTTATGACGAGCGTCGGGGTCACAGCCGAGCTGAACTCCCCGTGACCTCTAGACCATCGCTCACCGCCCCCCACCCCCGTTTACTCCGTTTCCCGTCGGTCACGACCTCATGACATCGCCAGCACAGCAACACAACGTGCCACCACCACCCAACACCACCACTCAACACCACCACCACCACCACCACCCAAACTATGTATGTCTATGTAGGCTATGTAAGTCTACGTAGACGCTGCCCAGCAACGAGCCCCTGAACCCTGCGTGACCCCCCGCACCGCTACGAGCGACACAACACGACCATGCCTCACACCTCTCTGTCACCCAAAGCCTCCTCCCTTACCGCCACCACCACACACGCACGCACACACAGGCACACACATACACACGCACACACAGGCACACACACGCACACACGCACACACACAGGCACACACACACACACGCACCCACACACACACGCACACACACACACACACACGCGCACACCCACACACACACACACGCACACACACGCACACACGCACCCCCACACACACGCGCACACCCACACACGCACACACACGCACAACAAACCGACCCACCCATCATAAATCACCAAGACATTTACCGCGTCCATCGCTTAAAAGTGCCCCCAGAAAATAACGCCACAGCGGTGACCAATCCAGCAGTGACCACTCCAACGGTGACCACTCCAACAGTGACCACTCTAACAGTGACCACTCCTGCAGTGACCACTCCTGCAGTGACCACTCCTGCAGTGACCACTCCAACAGTGACCACTCCAACGGTGACCACTCCTGCAGTGACCACTCCAACAGTGACCACTCCAACGGTGACCACACCAACAGTGACCACTCCAACAGTGACCACTCCAACAGTGACCACTCCAACAGTGACCACTCCTGCAGTGACCACTCCAACAGTGACCACTCCTGCAGTGACCACTCCAACAGTGACCACTCCAACAGTGACCAGTCCAACAGTGACCACTCCAACAGTGACCACTCCAACAGTGACCACTCCAACAGTGACCACTCCTGCAGTGACCACTCTAACAGTGACCACTCCTGCAGTGACCACTCCAACAGTGACCACTCCTGCAGTGACCACTCCAGCAGTGACCACTCCAACAGTGACCACTCCAACAGTGACCACTCCTGCAGTGACCACTCTAACAGTGACCACTCCAACGGTGACCACTCCAACAGTGACCACTACAACGGTGACCACTCCTGCAGTGACCACTCCTGCAGTGACCACTCCAACAGTGACCACTCCTGCAGTGACCACTCCAGCAGTGACCACTCCAACGGTGACCACTCCAACAGTGACCACTCCAACGGTGACCACTCCTGCAGTGACCACTCCTGCAGTGACCACTCCAACAGTGACCACTCCTGCAGTGACCACTCCAGCAGTGACCACTCCAACGGTGACCACTCCAACAGTGACCACTCCTGCAGTGACCACTCCAACAGTGACCACTCCAACGGTGACCACTCCAACAGTGACCACTACAACGGTGACCACTCCTGCAGTGACCACTCCTGCAGTGACCACTCCAACAGTGACCACTCCTGCAGTGACCACTCCAGCAGTGACCACTCCAACGGTGACCACTCCAACAGTGACCACTCCAACGGTGACCACTCCTGCAGTGACCACTCCTGCAGTGACCACTCCAACAGTGACCACTCCTGCAGTGACCACTCCAGCAGTGACCACTCCAACGGTGACCACTCCAACAGTGACCACTCCAACGGTGACCACTCCTGCAGTGACCACTCCTGCAGTGACCACTCCAACGGTGACCACTCCTGCAGTGACCACTCCAACAGTGACCACTCCAACGGTGACCACTCCAACAGTGACCACTCCAACAGTGACCACTCCTGCAGTGACCACTCCTGCAGTGACCACTCCAACGGTGACCACTCCTGCAGTGACCACTCCAACAGTGACCACTCCAACGGTGACCACTCCAACAGTGACCACTCCTGCAGTGACCACTCCAACAGTGACCACTCCTGCAGTGACCACTCCAACGGTGACCA